CACCGACCCCCGCTCCGGGGAGCCGCTGGACCGCGCCTTAGTGCTCTGGTTCCCAGGTGAGCGCCTTCAGACCCCGAGCCTTCCGTAGCTCCCAGGACCCAGTAGACCACCTCAGGCGGTTGCCCAGCCTATGCCCTTCCCTCCTCACCACACCAGGTCCCCACAGTTTCACGGGTGAGGACTGTGCGGAGTTCCACGTGCATGGAGGCCCCGCAGTGGTGAGTGGCGTCCTGCAGGCCCTGGGTGAGTCTACAGCCTGGGGTTCGAGGTCTGGCCCGGCCAGTGGGCCTGGGTGGGGGCCAGGGTCTCAGCACTCGGGACCGTCCCGCAGGCAGAGTGCCAGGGCTGCGGCCTGCGGAGGCGGGTGAGTTCACCAGACGGGCCTTTGCCCACGGGAAGCTGAGCTTGACGGAGGTGGAGGGGCTGGCGGATCTGATCCATGCGGAGACGGAGGCGCAGCGGCGGCAGGCCCTGAGGCAGCTGGACGGGGAGCTGGGCCAGCTCTGCGGTGGCTGGGCAGAGACCCTCACTCAGGCAAGTCCCCGTTTGCCCATCCTCTGCCTCCGAGACCCGCATCTGCCCATCCCCTGTATGAGAGCGTCTGGTCTATGAACCTCCAATCTGATCCCCCAAGTCAGGCTGGACCTGGGCAAATTGGGGGGCTGGGGGATAGGTTCCTGGGTGATAACACCACATACCTCCCCTCCCCCAGGCTCTGGCCCATGTGGAGGCCTATATCGACTTTGGGGAGGATGACAACCTGGAGGAGGGCATCCTGGAGCAAGGTGTGTTGGCCTGGGGGTCACGGCTGGGGACACCTGGCATTTCAGCCCCTAGAAGGCTCCTCCCCGCCTCCTCTCTGCTTTCTTTCGTCCACAGCTGACAGCCAAGTGCGAGAGCTCGAGGTGGCACTGGACACACATCTACGAGATGCTAGGCGCGGGCAGAGGCTGCGCTCAGGGGCGCACGTGGTGGTCACGGGACCCCCCAACGCGGGCAAGAGCAGCCTAGTAAACCTACTCAGTGCGTGGGAGGTGGGCAGGGGGCGGGCCTGAGCTGTTGAGGTGTGGGGAAGGGCCAGGGAGGATGAAAGCTCTCGCCTGCCAGGGACTGGAGCTGGGAGAGGGGCTCCCTTGTCTTCACTGACTTCCGCCCCTTCCCCTCCCCAGGCCGGAAGCCCGTGTCCATCGTGTCCCCAGAGCCGGGGACCACCCGTGACGTGCTGGAGACCCCTGTAGACCTGGCCGGGTTCCCAGCGCTGCTGAGCGACACAGCAGGGTTGCGGGAGGGTCAGGGGCCAGTGGAGCAGGAGGGTGTGCGGCGCGCCCGAGAGAGGTGGGTGGGCGGGCAGACAGGGTGGTGGGAGAGGGAGATGTGCCCCTTCCTGTCCCTGTTGTATTTATTATTCTTTCTTCTTGAATCAGAGATTTAACTGGGGGCTCTGTGATTTGGGGAGAGCAGCCCTTAGATTTGGGCCTCTGCCCACATGTTCTGCTCCACCCCTGACACTCGGCCCCACCCCTACCCCCAATGCTCTGCTCCGCCCCCACATCAGCCCAGTTCCCGAAATTGCTCTACTCTGGGGTCACTTCTCAGCTGATTCTCCCTGCTCCTCCAGGCTGGAGCAGGCTGACCTCATCCTGGCCGTGCTCGACGCCTCTGACCTGGCCTCTCCGTCCAGCTGCAACTTCTTGGACACAGTTGTCACCCCCGCGATAGCTCGGAGCCCCAGTGGGAACAGCCAGCGCCTCTTGCTGGTGCTGAACAAGTCGGACCTGCTGCCCCCTGGGGGTGCAGACCTCAGCCCTGAACTGCCCCCGCACCTGCTGCTGTCCTGCCTGACCGGGGAGGGGCTGGACGGCCTCCTGGAGGCACTGAGGAAGGAGCTGGCTGCAGTGTGAGCCTCCCTTGCCCACCCCACAGCCTCTGCCCAAGTTCAAGCGGGGGCTGAGCCACGGCTCTGGGCACATGCCTGCCTCAGTTCTGTCTCTGCAGAATGAGTATGCTCATCCCCCTTTGAGCGATGGTTATAAAGCTAAGAGAGACCGTGTTCTTTGTCCCGTGCTCGATGCCTCTGACCTGGCCTCTCCGTCCAGCTGCAACTTCCTGGACACGGTTGTCACCCCCGCCATAGCTCGGAGCCCCAATGGGAACAACCAGCGCCTCTTGCTGGTGCTGAACAAGTCGGACCTGCTGCCCCCTGGGGGTGCAGACCTCAGCCCTGAACTGCCCCCGCACCTGCTGCTGTCCTGCCTGACCGGGGAGGGGCTGGACGGCCTCCTGGAGGCACTGAGGAAGGAGCTGGCTGCAGTGTGAGCCTCCCTTGCCCACCCCACAGCCTCTGCCCAAGTTCAAGCGGGGGCTGAGCCACGGCTCTGGGCACATGCCTGCCTGCAGGCTCAGTTTCTGTCTCTGCGAATGAGTATGCTCATCCCCCTTTGAGCGGTGGTTATAAAGCTAAGAGAGACCGTGTTCTTTGTCCCTTGCAGGTGTGGGAACCCATCCACAGGCCCACCACTTCTGACGCGGGCCAGGCACCAACATCACCTCCAGGGTTGCCTGGATGCCCTTGGCCACTACAAGCAAGCTACAGATGTAGCCCTGGCAGCCGAGGCGCTGCGCGTCGCCCGGGGACACCTGGCCCGCCTCCACGGTGGAGGGGGCACCGAGGAGATCCTGGACATCATCTTCCGGGACTTCTGCGTGGGCAAATGAGGGGACCGCTGAAGCTTGAACAGGCTGGATGGACACCCAGGGACACCCAGAGCCTTGAGACGCCTGGGAATAGCTCAGGCCAAACGAGGTTTTCATTTCCTTGGGGAAGACCTTGGCCGCAAAACACGAGTGAGCTCCCTATTGCTGATGGTGACCACGCTCTAGCTGGCCAGGTTCCCCCACGGGGACTTGCTGGGGTTCAGGCCCTCGAGTGGGGCTGAGCAGAGGTCCCTTTGGGCACCTGATCCTGCGGGAGTAGCCGTGAGGGTTGGGAGGGAGTTAGGAGAGTCTCAGGGGTCTGTTTTTCGTAGTTTTAATGTATTTTGTAAATACCAAAGGAAAAAATCTCAGGTGATCCGGAAACGTGGAAATCCTACCCCCACCGCCACTGGTGTCACAGCATAACTTATGTCCTTCTAGAACTTTCTCTGAGTGTTTGTATACTTGTGAATGCGCCTGTAAAATATGTTTTATCTTGTATATTCTACAAACTTTGTGTGTTTATTGCTCTGCAGGTTGTCATTCCTTTTTTAATATTAATCTTGGAACTTTGTCTCTTGTATCTTAAAAGTGACTTGCAAAATCCTGGGGGCCCTACTTCCTTTCCAAGATTATTATTATTATTTTTTTTATTAAATCTTTATTGTTCAGATTACATTTGTTCCTCTTTTTTCCCCCCCCATAACTCCCCTCCTCCCAGT